ACCAAGACCCCACAAGCAACATGGCGTGGCAAAAAACAAACAAACAGAAAAACCCTAAAATAGACAAAGCCCAAGGCAAATAATAAAAACAAAACCAAACAAACAAAAAAAAGAAAACACAAAACCTGAGACAAATAACAAAACTAAATCCAAGCAAACAAAAAGCAAACCAACAACAAAACAACATGGTTAGCAAAAAACAAAACACCCAAACAAGAGGGCCCCAAAACCATAACCAGTAATATAAATGAAACTAAACAGAAAACAATAATACAAAATGTAAAAACAAACTAAAAGAAAAGCTAAGAGAAAAGACAAACACTAAAATGACAAAAACAAACAAAAGATAAAAAAGCAAAAAAATAACAAAGTGAAAGAAAACAACACAAAAATATCAAAAGAACAAACCACCACCACCAAGAAAACAAAAACAAAAAAACAGACAAGTGGAAAAGAGCAGAACAATAACAGAATAAAAAATAAAATAAGAAGAATAAAAAATATATTAGAAAAAAATAAAAATGAAGCAATGACAAAACAAAAGAGGACAACAGCAAAAAATAAAATAAAATTGAAAAAATGAAAAATTCCCTGGTGCCTCTGCTATCAGTGTCCTTGCCCCTACAGTGAGCTACGTCCAATCCCCGCCTCCCCAGGAGGCCCTTCGAGACCTCTAGGTAGGTCTCTGGACCTGCTGTGTCAGCCCCACCTCTGCATGTGTTCCTTTTACCAGCATCTGCTCTTGAAGCTGGCCTGGAGCACACATGCTCGTGCAGGCCAGGTGGGTGCAGGCTTCCACAGGTGTGTCCACAGGGGCTGGGACAGCCAGAGGAGGCTTTGGAGGGTGGTGGCACTTGGCTCGCCTGGACCCATGTGGCCAGAGGAGGATTTGTCAGGGGCGGCCCACGGGCCACCACAGAGGCTTGAATGGGGGAGGGCTGGTGCTCAGGTCCATTGGAACCGCGGGACCCTCAGAGGCTTTGGTGGACGCAGGGCTCAGGCCTGGGACCTGTGCAGCCATACTAAAATTCCTAATATGCTTGAGGCAGGACCAGATGGATGTCAGGAGTTTGGGTCTGGGAATAGTGATCTGTGGATGGATTGTGCTCTCTCAGCTTCTTGGATTGTGGCCTTAGCCTTAAACCTTGGGGTTATAGTGCTAGCAAGAAGGGCTCCTTTAACAGGAAGGACGATTGAGAGCTACCAGTGTGGGGATTGGAGACAGGAAGGGAGCTTGGCCTACGGGGTCGAAGATTGGGGGTTCCTTGTGTGTAGCGGGGAACCAAGCTTAGGCAATTGCAGGTAGAGAATGTCAAGGAGGGTGGGGTGGGGTGAGTATGGGAAGAAGAAACTGAAGGGAGCTGGAGCCAGGCTTTCTAGGTAGCGTCTTGCACATGCACCTCAGGGTGGCAGTGTTGCACAACTGCACTGATTTTCTGTAGCTGTTTCTGCAGGATCCTTAGGGCCTCGCTGCAGCCTGCTCACGATAAGAACCTGTCTGTTAGATCTAGCCTGACGGCTGTTTTTTATTTGTTTGTTTTATTTTATTTTTTCCTAGAATTTGAGGGGAAACAG